GTGCCGCGCCGCTCGCGTAAATGCGCGCCGCCGCGGTGGGGGCAACGATTCAGGGGAAAGACGATCCATTTCCACTGTCTGTTACTTCGGGGGATAGTTCTGAATATCCGCGCTATTGTGTCCCCTAAACGCCACGGTGAAACTTTCATGCGATTCGTGAGACAATGCCGACGGTCTTCGGAATCGCTCTATCGACGACGACTGACGAGGTTGCGCTAACACGTTTCTCTGGTTGATCGCTGGTAATCTGCTCGGATGATTCGATAATTCTAGGGTTTGGTTAGGTTTTTTTTGTGATGTTATTCTCAGGGATAGTTAGGTTGATAATGGAAGCACGAATTATTTGAGTTTGATTTTCTGTAATAGTGTGAGTTATTCGTGAGGGTACAATTGAAATGCTGTATTCGCTTTGTTATCTTACGAAACAGTTTGTAATGGGAATTTTATTAAGATAATGTAATTCTTTGAAAGAATTAAGAATCCACTTGTTCGTAAGGTATTATTGTATGTTGAAATGTTTGAGAACGTTAATTTTAATGTTCGAATAGAAAATGACTACTTTGCGATTAAGAGTGTACTGAATATGGTCAATTAAAGTCTTACATAATACGCTTCACTCTTAACGCTATTTTTCCATTCTATCGAAGTTTTGTTATAGCTGATCATAAAATATCGATACCAAGAGTCTGGAGATACACACTACTAAAACTAATTCAAAATAATGCCTATGCATATCAGAAATTCCCGTCCTAAAACATTGTTTATTAGAACGAACGGAAGGAATCATTTTCCACTAACCCTGTGCCTTACAATTCCTTTCGTAACTGCCCTCACTACTCTTCCATTATCCCCAATACTCCCTCAAAAAAGGGTAGTTCTACATATATCGTAAACCTGTATTTACTCAAAAACTTAAAAACCAATAACAAAAAGACATCATTCCATTTCAACCTAAAAAGAAAACAACATTAACACTCATCAAATTCAGTTTCAAATCTGCACCATAAACCTAGCCCTTGCTTACGAAGCAATCGATTAAATTGCTCCTTTCATCGCAGCATTTTAATCCGTTCACCCTTAGAATCCATTAAAACATCTAAAAATCAACAAGAAGCATAATGTAGCATTAAAAATATTGCATCATCCCTAATAATGCGGTTTTTCCAATCGCGTTTACCGTACTTTTCTTCAAGTGAATTTTAATAGAGATCCAATCAAAGTCTACCAAAAATATAGAATATTATAGAGAACAAAGGAAAACACATTTTAAATTAGAAAAGGTTTCGTGTATCGAAATCATGAAAAATAAAGAATGTACCAAAAGCCCGCATTATTTATGGTATGACCCCATACGAACGATCCTGAAAGACCAGGACCAGAAAAGCGTTCCGACCAGTCGCAGTAGATTCAGACGGTGCGGTCCAGACGTTACTGGCGGCCGGCCGAAACCTCGTGGTCCCTGGTCCGGCTATGCCGGTGCCCCACCGCCCGGCCGCGGAAAGCGTACGTGTAAGCGCGGAAAAGCCGCAGGTGCGGGAGGCGGAGCGTGCAGCGCAAGCGCAGGTGCAAACCACACCTCCGTAAGCTCGAGCAGGGAGGAGCGAGACGCAAGACCATCTGGAGAGCCGTTCGTGATTGGCGATTCTGTTCACCTGCTTGGTCCCATGTCCTCGCCGTTCGCACTCCATTCCCTTGATCCATCCCCCTTTGTACCCGTTGCACTCTCTCACTATCTCTCACTCCCTATTTCTCTCTCTTTGCGCTCCCCCTCTCGACCCCGAGAATGGAATCTATTAATGCACCTGCATGACGTTAGTAATCACCTTTCCCCGCCATTCCCCGCACGGTGATCTTCGTTTTCATCCGGCCACGTCGATCCTGGACCGACATCGGTACCACGTATCTCCGTCGTGGAAGATACTGTTCCCAAAACGGGGAACCACGAGCCTGTGACAAATTTATGACGCATGCGTCGATTCCCCGCTGATAATGACGCTAACCCATTTTCCGCTCGCGTTGCGTTTACACCTTGGTTTATAATTAGACTGCGGTTACGCTTTCCCGTGGGAAGTCGCTGGAGGATTGCGAATCGGAGGAAAGTCTGCTTTTTTGTTGGGAGTTGGAGAATGAATTCTTTTGTTAGAATAACTTGATTAGAATATGCTTCTTTGTATGTGCAGCTGATTGTGTATCGTATTCTGTTGAAGTGTGAAACAATTGATTTTAATCTGGAATGTTTTAGAAAAATGAAAATGACACGATGCGTGACAGATTGAGCGAAAGAATTGGTAAACATCGAGGAGGATGTTAAGAAAATAAAATATCTCTCCCGAAATGAATTGATTGTAACAAACCGGAAGAATAAATTTACAATCGACGATATGGACAAGTGCATTCTACTGTATCACAATATAAATTATTAAAGATATATCTCTTGCCTACATTTTAGATATTACTACAATTCATGCATGTTTAAATATTGGCTGTCTGCGTATAACAAGTGAGACTCACGGTGAAGGTTTTGTAAACAGTTTAACACGTATATGTAGCGGACCAACTCTGTCATGACAACCGGACACATATGTCACGTGAGAGAAAGCACGCTTGCCATTCGTGTTTCTACGTGACATCCTTTTATGAATCAATACTTAAAATATATTCAAACGTACAAAGAAAAACATATTATAATCAATTATTTTCAGAATAACAAATGCACTAACAAACACAGTAACAAATAAATGAAGCCGTAGAAATAACAATTTCTTATATTCCGTAATTTAACAGGGAACCTGTTCGTATTTATAATCCACGCATCCCATTCTGATAAAAATAAAATATCCCGCGGTCCACGTAAAACGTGAACAATTTAATAATATCATTTTACTGTTTTTGCATGTTTCATGATATCATATCATTGTTTCGCGAAAGAATAATAAATTTATTTAAACTGAAAATGTTTAACTCCGAAATTATTTATTGAGGTTTCACCGTAATTAAAATCAAAAGATAAAATATGACCATGTATGAAAGAAGTCCGTTTCATTGTTTACGCCGATGCGACGTGAAAATGGATTGATCGAATTAGCGTCTCGTTTTTCGTTCCAGCGTTGATACAATGATGCCCGGTTGAAAGGCAGTTACTGATGCTTTCTATGAAAGTTGGCAGCCAGCGGCAGGAATTAATTACCCAGGAAACCAGACGCGGCACTTTGATGTCCAACTGGCTTCCGGCGGCCCACGTAAGGGCCAAGGTAATCGACTTTGCTCGTTTGAGCACAAGTCGTAGACTAACCACCTACGGCAGTGGATAACCCACGTGACTGACGGACGGCAACTGACTACTTCAACGCTGCACGCAACCGAATATCCGACTAATGCTACTATCGTCACTTACGTATCGTAATCTAAACCTCCATACAGAAAAACTTCGGTATGCAGAATGCTAAGTCATCTTCTTCGTTAAGAAATAAATGTGGTGCTTTGAAATATTTATAAAAATATTTTGTACAAAATTATATGCATTGTGACCTTGAGTAATGCACGTGAAATCATTTCTTCTTATACTCATCTTGTATTCCTCAGGTTAATTAGCATAGAAGATTATTTCCTTGAAAAGCTTAAAAATTGAATTTGTAACTTTTAGAACCTTTCCACAAAACCATACAACTTCAAGAATAAACATTACATACACTCAATATTCCACTGAATCTTCAAAAACCTGTCCTTAACAAACGTTTCATGCTCCAACTCGAACAAACCACCCCATCTCTGCATAATTAATCTACACCCCCGCCGCGCTGTTGTCCCGAAAACAATAGACACCCGAGCTTAGAAAAAGGTTAAACAGTCACATGAGCGTCATACGTTACGTCATTATCTTGTCATCGGGCTTAGAGCGGGTCCCGTGTTAAAAGGTACTCGAAAAGCATAAAATGGCCCTTTAAGCGAGGGAGCGCCGGCCGGTCGGCCGACAGGACGGCTGGATCGGCTCACGGGACAGAGTTAAGTCGGCGAGGCGCTAAGGGAAAGAACAATGGCTTATATAATGAGGCCGAGTGCCGTGGCGCAAAATAACACGTGGAAAACTCCCCGGCGGAAATCCGGCTTTCCTCCGGGGACGAAATAATTACCTCGTGCAAATATTCGTAGGCGCTCGCCGTTTCCACTTTTCACCCCCTTTTCCCAGTACCAGGCCCGCTAACTCTGTCTCTTTCCTTTCTATCCGTTCACGGAAGGTTTGGTCAAGATTTACATAAGAATAACCTGGAACAACAATCCCTCGAACAATTACCTCCGTATTTAGCCGGCCATCGTCCCTCCCCAGGATCCGCTGCGACCGTATTATTCTAATAAGCCGTGAGCCCCGTTTCTATCCAACAATGATATCCGAGCTGGCCCGAGGATCCAACCGTAGACCGAAGTTATTTTCTTTTATTTTTGAATCGCGCAGCAGGACACGCTGCGCGCACCGCCTCCGGGAGAATTTTCCGCGATTT